TTTTTTTCTGCCTCTAAACTCCTGTAAATGCCTCAAATATGCATGGACAGAGGTCAACCACTTCCTATTCATTGAATGTACCTGAACGTCCTTGAATGAGAAGGGTAATATCTAAGTCATTGGTACAGCAAGATGTAATGTTTTAGAGCCAGCAATTCTACATGTTGCAAAAGTAATCCAAGCAGCTAAAGAGCCATTGGATCACTTTTACAGGTGGCAGAATAAGGTTCCCTTCTCCTGCTGCTTCTTTTACTGGCTCTCCCATGCGATCTGGTGACATCCTGTTCCTAAGACACAGTGAAGAACAGATGTCTATCCTCCCACGGTGTGATGTCAGAAACCAGGAGTGATGAGGATTCACACTGGTCTTGCTGTGATCTGATGCTTTAGAGGTCAGAGGAGACATCTGAGATCTAATAGACCCCAAATTTCTCCAAAAAAAAAGAGGACCTGTCACAGCCCATGCTATCACAAGGGAAGTTGTTCATTCCTTGTGATAGCAACAAATGTAATTTAAAAAAAAAAAAAAAAAGGAACAGTGTAAAAATTTTAATCAAATAAATAATAAAATTTAAAAAAGTGTAAATTTTTAAAAAATTTTAATAAAATTTAAAAAATCGCACTACACATGTGAACGAACGTCAGAGTGAGAGCAATAATTCTACCATCAGGCCTCCTGTATAGCTTTTAACTGGTAACCTCTAAAGACTTTTAAAGCGTTGCCTATGGAGATTTTTAGGTACTGTAGTTTGGTGCCATTCCACGGACGCACACATTTATAAAGCGTGACAGGTTTGGTATCCATTTACCCGGTGTAACATCATCTTTTATACTACTTTACCAAAATAAAGGGGTATTATATTGTGTTTATTATGCATTAATCCATTCATTAAATCATTTTTTTTCATAATGTTTTAAAAACCGCCATGCAAATACTGTGTGACATAAAAATATGCAACACCCACCATTTTATTCTCTAGGACCTCTGCTTTAAAAAAAAAAAATGTTTGGGTGTTTGAGGTAGTTATGAAGGAGAGGAATGTCAGAATTGGTTGAGACTGGAGATGGTTAACTTGCAGGGGAGTTTAGAGGCAGAGAAAAAAAGAACTCAAATGCCTCTAAAAGTAATGTTTTTGAAGTCAAGTGTGCAAGAGGCCTTAGCAATACTAAAAAAGATTATTTTCTGAGTAATGTGCCTATTCAGAGCAAAGATCAATTAGTAAAAGTGGCTTTCCAGAAATTTTTTTACAAGATGTGACAAGATGATTGTTAGCTTTCTAGTAGCAAAACTGAAATCACAAGTAACAATATTCTAAATTTAAAAAGATTATTAAACATGAAAATTAGACTAGGTTTGATAAAGTATACAGAGTCACTTTTTTAATTAAGTTGACAGATTTCAGACTGCTAAAAACTTAAACTCCGAAGTCGGCACTAATTAATTAAACATCCTGAAATGCCAGTGAACCCAAATGACATATCTGCAAAAAAATTACTTGTAAATGCTTTTAAGGGCATTGTTAAATACATAATTGACAAAATAAAAACAGTGTAGGCAGGCATTTAGAAAATTCCTAATTTATGTGATGTTTACATACAGTGATTTCATAATTAATTGTTCATTATCCAGTTATGGTTTCAACCAGAACAGTATTCTGATAATTTACTGATGTTAACATATTTGGGCTGATTTACTAAATACATTTTGTGAACATTTACTTCATTCGGATACAGATAAAATAAGTAAATATAAATGTGCCTTTCACCTGACTGGATTTTGAAGGGAATAGTCACACAATTTGTTGTGTGAAAATTCTCAATTCCTTTAGTAAATCAGCCTCAGTCAATGTCAGCATAATGCCTCAATGGCATGCCATAATACAATACAAAATACTAGACCTGACTAGATTGTAAGGTTGAGTGCTGGAGTATGTTACAGTTTAAATTTAAACACAGAGTTGATTCAATTAATTAACCTTGGGGACATGCCAATACTGGGACAGGTTAGTCTAAAGATGGAAGAGTCCAGCGTATGAGATGAAAGCAATTCCCATGCAAATCAATGTCAGTTCATGATGGACATTTTGACTAAATGATTATCGCATCTATCTTTATACAGGATAAATATATCACTGCTTATATGTTCCTGCTACTTGATCCAGAAGAAGGTGCTGGGCTGAATCTCAAATAAAATGCATTTGTACTAGATACATATATAACCAAAACTGTTGTATGTAGAGCTGTGCAACACTTGATCCCGTAACTTAATAGCAAATATTTTGCTACATGAAAAGTATTGTTGGCTTACGAGAACAGAAACAACTGAGTACTGTCCGTGATACTTTTTTTATTTGCACTAACATACAATTTTAAGGACAAGTTTTCGGGGGTATGTCCCCTTCTTCAAAGTCCAAACAGTAAATATTGTGTATTGTGTACTGCTCGGACCTTGAAGAAGGGGACACTCCCCGAGAGCTTGTCCTCAAAATTGTATGTTCGTGCAAATAAAAAAAGTATCACGGACAGTACTCAATTGTTTATCTCGCAAATGCACTAATATGGCTTATGAGAACAAAAAGCTTATTGTGCAACTTAACTGATTGAATTTTACTATTCACATTGCAATCTATTTTGTTCTATACACACCTTGAAATCCATCCATAGAACAAAACTTCTCTTGACGGTTATTTTTTAATCTGAAGACATATTTGCCCTTACTTTTTTTACAGCTTAGGTTGTTGTGTTCCTCTTTTCTAAATTCTTAGTGAAAATAAAACTATTGCATTCTGGTAATGATTGTGACTGCTGCCTGTATTTATAGCATTCAGTGGATGATTCATTTATTTCTTTATTTTTCATTTCATATGCGTTATTTATATATTTCTACACATTTACACGCCCGGCAAGCTGTCCAGCAAAAATGTGTTCATTTTTTTTGCCACTTATCATTTAAATTTAGTTTTGGGAAGAATAGCAATGGGTTAAAACCTCTTTTGGGATTTTATTGTTGTCAGTGTTTCTGCTGGGGATGATTTATTCTCCATTTGTCCTGTTATCCATTGTTACTGGGAATCAAAGTGAGAGAAAGTCCCAAAAGTTGAGCTGTCCCCAGAACAGGACTAACAGAAGGTAAACCTTTTAATGGGGCACTTTTGCACTTCTTACAGCTGTCTTATTGGGAATCCAACTTCACTTTGGAGAGGTTTTAGCTCATTTAATTTGGCATCAATTGTACAGAACATGAAGGGAAATTTCCCAATGCGGAAGGGAAATTTCCCAATGGAACACAATGACAAGAAAACCTGAGAGATGCTTTAACTCAAATAAGATTTGCTGTCATAGTTATTATATAGGTTATATAGTATTATGTTATATAGGTTTTAAGTATTATATAGGTACAGAAATGTTAACTGTACACTTTTTCAGGCTACTGCTAAGGCACATTTTGTTTAGCACTACAAAATAGCAGTGCACTTCCTGGTATGTGAGTGTGCCTTTTGGCTCCCGTGCCTGAAGTCCGATAGTTGTGTATCTGCAGTGTGCGATCCAAGGCACTGCTGTCTGACTTCTAGGAGATGTGGTGTTGTCACTACTGCACTGATATTATTGTCCTTGTTGGAGGCTCTGACAAAAGCCCTGTCCTAATCAAAAATGGCCAGCTCAGAGGCACAGTGCAGAGCAAAGCATGGTAAGTAAATAATGGGGAACGGATTAGCAGCAGAAAGTCCACAGGCAATACTGGTGACTATATCTTTTCCCTCTGCCTGCCTTGTTTTAACCATATCTTCCAGAATGCACGTATGGGGTTTACAAAAGTGTGTGTGTATATATATATGTATGTATATATATATATATATATATATATATATATATATATATATACACACACTTTGCTCAAAAAAATCAAAGGAACACTTTTTAATCAGAGTATAGCATCAAGTATTTTAAACTCCTGGAATATTGATCTGGACCGTTGAGTAGCAGAGGGGGTTGTTAATCAGTTTCAGCTGCTTTGGTGTTAATGAAATTAATGAGATGATCTCCAAAACAGGAATGATTTTACAGGTGGAGGCAACTGGCATTTATTTCCCCTACTCATCATTTCTGAGTGTTTTTCACTAGTTTTGCATTTGGCTAGGGTCAGTGTCACTACTGGTAGTATGAGGCGATACCTGGACCCTACATAAGTTGCAAAGGCAGTTCAACTCCTCCAGGATGGCACATCAATACATGCCATTGCCAGAAGGTTTGCTGTGTCTTCCAGCACAGATTTTTGGGGTATCTTTGAATTCAGTCCTCTATAAGTTGATAATTTTTATTTACATCAAACGATGGGGCATCCTTACATTCCTAACAGATTACCCAGTCCATATCAGTATAGATATCCAGCATGACATTTTTCCCCATTGAGATTTGATGTATTTTCAAAGTGGTCCTTTAAATTTTTTTTCGAGCAGTGTATACCCATCCACCTAGGCACTTACCTAGGTGGATGGAACATTGACCTGTAATGTAATCAGCCCCATCCGCCTTTCCAGTGAGAAATGAGCGATCAAACACCACTGATCGCTTTGTTCTCTCCTCCGCTCAGTGACTGTCTCCCAGTAGTGCAGGTATCTTGGTGGATCCCAACTGTAAAGTCTGGATCTTTTCCAAGCCTGGACCGGCTGATTGATGTTAACCAATGGGTCGCAGGAGTGCAGAACAAAGTGAAAATTGGTTAGAAGAGTGCAAAACGAAGTACTCCTGTGACCCAAAGGAGAAGGATAGCCAAAGAAGCTTTGGCCATACTTCTCCTTTAACCTCTTGCCGACCGCGCATAGCCAAATGACGGCTTCACTGCGGCCGGCCAGTTCTGGGTGGACGTCATATGACGTCCCCCCAGAACGCGCTCTCCTGCGCGCCCCAGGGGGCGCGCACCCGGCGATCTCCGTGATCGCTGTGTCCTACGGACACAGCTGATCACGAGATGTGGTAAAAGGCCGATCATACCGGCCTTTTACCACGTGATCAGCGGTGTCCAATGACACGCTGATCACAGGGAAATGCAAGTGCCGGTTCTCGGCTGCACTTTCCTCACGCTGTCAGATCGTGAGGAAAGTACTGCCGAGAACCGGCAGTTGTCAGAGCGAGGTTCGGCACCGATCATCAGGGCCACTGATGATCAGTGCCCAGCAGTGCCACCCACAAGTTCCGCCCACCTGTGCCCAGCAGTGCGCCCACTAGCTCCGCCCACCTGTGCCCAGCAGTGCACCCACCTGTGCCAGCTCTGCAGTCACACACCTGTGCCACTCTGAGTCACACACCTGTGCCCAGAGTGCCACCTACCTGTGCCCACCCACCTGTGCCCACCAGTGCCACCCACCTGTGCCCACCCACCAGTGCCACCCACCTGTGCCCACCCACCAGTGCCACCCACCTGTGCCCACCCACCAGTGCTGCCCACCAGTGCCACCCACCAGTGCAGCCCAGCAGTGCTGCCAGTCAGTGCCACCAGTCAGTGCCCAGCGGTTGTGCCAGTCAGTGCTGCCAGTCAGTGCCCAGCAGTGATGCCAGTCAGTGCCATCTATCAGTACCCATCATCAGTGTCACCTATCAGTGCTGCCTATCAGTGCCGCCTATCCGTGACACCTCATTAGTGCTGCCTATCAGTGCCGCCTATCCGTGCCACCTCATTAGTACTGCCTATCAGTGCCCTTTAGTGCTGCCTATCAGTGCCGCCTATCAGTGCCCATCAGTGCTGCCTCATCAACGCACATCAGTGAAGGAGAAAAAATACCTGTTTGAAAAATTTTATAATAGAAACAAAGAAACTTTTTTTTTTTTTTCAAATTTTTTGCAATTTTTAATTTATAGCGCAAAAAGTAAAGCGCCCAGTGGCGATTAAATACCACCAAAAGAAAGCTCTATTTGTGAGAAAAAAATGATCAAAATTTCATATGGGTACAATCTTGCATGACCGCGCAATTGTCAATCAAAGTGCGGCAGCGCTGAAAGCTGAAAATTGGCCTGGTAAGGAAGGGGGTATAAGTGCCTGGTAGGCAAGGGGTTAAAGTCCATCTAAATCTACCTGGTCTCTCTGAAAGTACTCCATCCACACAGTGACAATGCTGCAGCAATTTCACTTTGAATAGAATTGCCATGCTGTTAAAGGAAGTGGAAAGTCATCAAATCTACTGGCAGTATGTTCAGGTAAAAACAATTTTTACAAGGAGAATTTAGAAGAAAACAAACAGACTGCTCTGTTAATGCTATTGACAGACTGCAGGAAAAAAAAAATGCAATTTTTGTTTTATTTAATTAAGATCAGAGGAAGTGTGTCAATTACATTTCAATCAACTGATACAATTTCTATTGTGTGTTTTGTTTCACTTCTTAAGTAGTTTGTTGTATTTTACGAATGCAAATGACAGCGAATGATTTTAAATGTCATGTATAGTCAGGTAGGGAAATAGAGAGGGATAAATAGTGCTGATCCTTGATGAGTAATTACACCACTCTTTCATTTTTCTAGCACTGGCTAACAGAATTGGAAATTTTTGCTATGATTTTCGCTGCTGCCGTCCATGATTATGAACACACAGGTACAACAAACAAACTTTCACATCCAAACAAGGTAATATGATTGATAAAAGTGTTTCTCTTGCCTGTATTATTCATAGCTTAAAACTATCTAGGGATCTGCATATTTGTTGCAAGATGCCAAATAAATAATCAAGAAGCTACCTTTCACTATGTCAGTGTTTCTCAACTCCAGTCCTCATGGACCCCCAACAGGTCATGTTTTCAGGATTTCCATTATTTCCATTTCCAGGTGATTTGATCAGTTTCACTGCCTTAGTAATTACCACAGCTGTTTCATCTGAGGGAAATCCTGAAAACATGACCTGTTGGGGGTCCATGAGGACTGGAGTTGAGAAACACTGCACTATGTACAACTATGGGAAGAGGAGAAGTTGGCCTGCTGTGTACATATAATGTAAAACTATCTATAGATTGACATGTTCAGTCATACTTTCACCATTCTGCCTGACAGCCATGTACCTATGTGGGTTTATGTAAAACTACACTCTGAGAAAATAGCTAAATACACAGATGAAATACTTATATGGGAGCTGTTTTACCTCCCAAATGTTTTGTGTTTTTGTCCATCCAGTTCTGAAACTAACACAACTTTTAACACTCTGCCTGGCACATGAGAGAACCTAATCTTTATCTGCTGCTGTTTCACTTTTCGTTACAGTCCATCCTGTGACTGGACAGTGAAATTAGAAGCAGCACACTGTTGAGCTCATGTCTCTCTCCTCCTGTCAGCATGCTTTTTGCATTGCAGCACACTTGGTTGTTGACTCTCTCCATGCTGCTTCTCCATATCCCTCTGTGACCTCTGCTGTACTGTAGACTGCAATTGGCTGGTACCAAGTCAATTTCAGGTACTTACCCTGCAGGCATTTTAAAAAAATGACCAGGTTCACACTGTTGCATTCAATGATATGCATGTGACCACAACATGTGGCAATGCATGTTATGTGCATTGGTACACTGCAATGTCATTCATTCTAAATAGTACCCCAACGCACCTACTAATCAGAACGATGCACCACTATAACATAGTACCTTGTGCTGTTCTGTACTGCATTTGCTAAAAATAATGCATTCAGGATTTTTTTTTTTGTGTTTCAGTGCATTAGACAGCCCAGTCAATTGAATGGCATAATGCAACATGCATTAACCACTTGCCGTCCGCCTGCTGTTTATAAACAGCAGGACGGTGGCAGTCCAGGGGCGGGTTGCCGTTCAGAAATGGCACCCGCCTTTTCTAGCTGTGTGCGCTCCCTGGCAATCCGGTGCCCGCTGTGTCCTCCAGACACAGTGAAACACCGATCGTCGGACGAGACCTCTGTATGAGGTCCCGATCATGTGATCACTGATTGGCCAATCAGTGATCACATGCAAAGTAGTAAGCAAGATAAGTTATTTGTGACATCATTGCTTACTACGTGTGAAATCTGTGAATGATCACAGAGGTCACATGGTAAAAGGCTATTCACAACAGCCTTGTACCATGTGACAAGCTGTGACCAATCACAGCTCACTCAATACTTCTCAATGACTGCAAGAATGCAGACAGAGAGAAAGAGAAATGATTGCTTTTACATCCTATATGGGTGTAAAAGCAATCAGTGTAAAAAAAAAAAATCTTCATCACCCCTCACAAGTAGTACAGTGTCACCATGGTGACACTGTACTGCTAGGGTGACAGTATGTAAAAAAAAATACAAAAAATAATAATATAAAAAAATAAAAATAAAAAAAAATGTAAAAAAAAATGTTTAAAAATTATAATTTTTGGTTATAAACTAATTTGGATTTTTTTTTTACTAAAAAAATAACAGAATATATTTTGGCCAAGATTTATGATGAAATATTATTTATTTGCAAAATGTTATAAAAAAAAACACTTTTTTTCAAAATGTTTGGACTTTTCATTTACATAGTGAAAAAAATAAAAATCCCAGCGGTGAATAAATACCACCAAAATAAAGCTTTATCTGTCTCAAAAAAATGGTAAAAAATTCATATGGGTACAGTGTTGCATGACCGCGCAATTGTAATTCAAAGTGTGATAGCGCTGAAAGCTGAAAATTGCCCTGGTCAGGAAGGGGGGGGAAAGTGCCCGGACTGGAAGTGGTTAAGGCATAACATAACTGATACAAATGGGCCCTTAATACTAGTGATTACAGTGCTGCATTAAAATGTTTATTCACCTTTACAGAAAAAAATGTACAGATGAACGGACAGTCTACCCCCCCCCCCCTCGGGTCCCTGGTGTACTTATCTCTGGAGTTGATGAGATGTCAGTCTAGTGGTTTGGAGATTTGAAATCACTGCTCTCCACCCTTCTATGTGTGCAGCGTTTCCAGGATGGATTGATTCTAAATGGACAGCGTCATCACAGTGAATCAATATCATCCATTCCAGGAGCACAGAGAAGATGGAGAAGAGCAAGTATTTCAAATCTCTAGACTGCTGGAACGGTTTGTGGGGGTGCTGACAGCTCAGCAACTCTGAAGGTAAGACTAGGGACTAGGGAGGGTGTATAGTGTTAGTTTATCTTTACAATTGTTCTGTAATGGTGAACTAACCCTTTCATTTGTACTTTTTAGATCTACCTAGAGTTCAGGTTTAATGAGCCATAGCACAAAGTGTGGTGACCAGGGGTGGACTGACAACTCATGGGGCCCCTGGCAATAGGGGATCATGGGGCCCCTGTGTGTTTGCCGAAACTCAAAAAAGCCTATGAAAAAGGTACCAGGGGTATCTCATGGGGCCCCCTACTGACCCCAGGCCCTCGGGAAGTGCCCGAGTTTCCAAATTTATTTATTTATCGAGTTTATATAGCGCCAAAGGGTTTGCTCAGCGCTGTACAATAGAGGGGGGGACAATACATGAAACAGAACAGTAACATCAAACAGCACACAAGGGGTAAGAGGGCCCTACTCTTTCGAGCTTACAATCTAGGAGGGAGGGGGTAGAGGCACAGGAGGAAACGGCTCTGGGGGATGGAGTGGTAGGAGGAGGGAAGGGCAGCGGCTGTTAGGTGAGGGTGGGGTAGGCTTCCCTGAAGAGGTGGGTTTTCAGGGAGCGCCTGAAGGTGAGGAGGGAAGGTGACAGTCTGATGGATTGGGTAGTGAGTTCCAGAGGATGGGGGAGGACCTGGAGAAGTCTTGCAGTCGTGCGTGGGAGGAGGAGACCAGGGAGCAAGATAGAAGGAGGTCCTGTGAAGAGCGAAGGGTACGGGTAGGGTGGTACCTGGGAATCAGGTCGGTGAGGTAGTTAGGGGCAGTGTTGTGAATGGCCTTATAGGTCAGGGTGAGCAATTTGAATTTAATGCGTTGGGCAATGGGGAGCCAGTGGAGGGAGAGGCAGAGGGGGGTGGCAGAGGTGGAGCGGCTGGTGAGGTGGATGAGACTGGCCGCTGAGTTCAGGATGGTCTGAAGCGGGGAGAGCTGCACTGGGGTAGGCCGGTGAGGAGGGAGTTGCAGTAGTCAAGGCGTGAGATAATCAGGGAGTGTACGAGTAGTTTAGTGGTGTCTGGGGTAAGGAAGGAGCGTATCTTGGCGATGTTCCGGAGGTGGAGCCTGCATGTGTTTGTAAGTGATTTGATATGAGGTTGAAAGAAAGGTTTGAGTCCAGAATGACGCCAAGGACCTTGGCTTGCTGGGCGGGATTGATGGTGGTGTTGTAGTGATGGAAAGGATGGGGGGGGCGCGGGCTGGGGGGAAGACGAGAAGCTCGGTTTTGGAGAGGTTGAGCTTGAGGAAATGGAGCGACATCCAGTCAGAGATGTCGTTTAGGAGGTGAGTGATGCGGGCGGAGAATGTGGGGGTGAGGTGAGGGGTGGATAGGTGGATTTGAGTATCATCAGCGTAGAGGTGGTAATTGAAGCCG